CACACGACCCTTTAGCTGCACACAAAACAACAAACAGATACAGATGTATCTTTTGGGCCAAGAGAAAAGAGCTGCCACTGCAATTGCTGCAATAGAGAAATATTACCGGAGGCACACTGCTAATGCACTTTCCATTGTACTCTCCACCAGGTGATGTGGGTTGGGCCGAATCTGGGTTCGGTATTGGGTTTGGTTTGGCCTTCAGTTCAGGCCAAACTCGACTCGCTTTCCTCTAGGAAATTTCCCACGGAGATTATATCACCGCAAAGGAAACGCTCGCTCGCTCTCAGACCCGTATCCTGGTTACGGTTTGTTCCGGAAACAGAGTAAGGAAATTGCCTTAAGATGGTTTAGTTTTTTTTTCCAATTTAAGTTTAAGTTTATGCAAACCAAATGTATTTTTAAGGCTTGGAGTTGGGTTTGAATTGGAATTAAGGGTTTGGGAGCCTTAAACATTAAGAAGGTTTTTAATAATTTTAAAAATAATATTACAAATTAATATTTGAGGGACTTAGAAGAAGAATATTAATATGCACCGGTAGGAGGAATCTTTCATTATTTTTCCCCTTATGGCTTCTTTTATTATAATGATTTTTTCACTCCAATAAAATTAAAATAAACTCAAGCTTAAGTACAGTAATTACAAAACTATAACCTGAATAAGAGCAATTAAAAAAGGTTGACAAATAAAAACTAAGGTCCTAGAAAGAAAGGTAACCTTGTTAATGACAGAATCCCCTGACTGGCTGAGTGTTTTCTTTGAAAAAAAGGGATACCACCCTGTGAAAATCCTGTAAGTTAGAAGGGTAAACAATGGCGCCCGAGCATAAATTGCAGATCAACAACAGCCACATGCTATTTGAAGTTTTGTTGTCGCATCGTGTTCAATCGTGTCTACCTTCCTTTTCATGCAGATGTATCTGATCCTTTGTATCTAACCCTCCAGAAAAATGTACGTACATATAAATTCTTCCTATTTTCGCAACAATAAACATGCCCCGAGGGCAGGGCAACCAACACAGACAACTAATTAAATTTTCTATGGTATGAATGCGCTTTTGTCGCATTAACCCCGCTCCGAACCCTCCGAAGAAGTCTTATTAAGTTGCCATTAAGAGGTAAGCGTTGAGGAGACCAGGTAAGCGATTCAGGTAAGTTTTTTTCGGATAAGGAAGTAGGGCGATGTAGGGCGATCTGCTGCTGCTATTCATATTCATAAGCCCATTGCCACCGCCATCAATAGCTCGTAAAATGTGTGTGAAAACGAAGGGGTGCCTTTGCCTCTGCCTTCTGGCGCAGAAGAAGTAGATCCCGATCCCGATTCCGTTCAGGGTGGTTGCTTCTTGGTGCCTCCACCCCTCCTCCCCTGACCTACTATTTACTTCTCTCCTGTCCAACTTCAACTCCAACTCGTTGTAGTTATATATATTTTTGAGTTTATCTTCGGCACACGTGTTCATCGTTTCGCGGTTGCCTGTTGCTAGGCCAAAAAAGAGAGATTCCCTAAGAAACCCACCCCACCAAAAAAAAAAAAAAAACAAAAACTCCATAAGACTCATCCGAAAAACCCAAAAAAACCCCCCCTTCTCCTCTCAGCTTTTGTGGTAATTTTGCTAAAAATATATATATGTATATGTTGTATATATAAATATAATAATAAACGAAATGAGATCACTGCCAACTGGAAAGTTGAGAACTTGCGTAAAACTTTGGCCAACCGTCTTGTAGTTGTTGTTTGCCTTTCATTTGTTGTTATTGTTGTTGTTGTTCAGTGTCTCCTGTTTGTGAGAAACTTTTGCTGGAAGCGCCATCCGCCTGCTGAAGCGTCATGTACTCCACTTAATCAAACGAGCGAACGGGAATCGCACTCGAAATTCAAGCCAAAAAATCTCACAGTGAGATCAGGCACTCAACAAAAAAACTTTGAAATTATATTTGAATTTGAATATAACAAATAATGTGTTAATTATAGTAAGATAACAATTATTACACTTATTATCCAGACCTATTAAATCTTTCTGAAACTAGAATTACCATCTTCATGTTATTAATATTATTTTTTAAGATATTATCCAAAGTTTCCAAATTATTCTCCCAGTGCTATGTCCCCAAAAACCAAAGAAGTACTTCAAAAATATACCCAGAAGATACTCTTCGGGCATTCAAGTGTGTGGACTTTATGTAAGAGTCGTAGTCTCGACTTCGGATCGCACATAGAAAAGTCTTAGATAATTGGCTAATTATATGTTCTCATGTGCGTTATGAATTTCATTTTCCATATCTTCAATTTATGAATTGAAAAACGTTCAGACCCGAATGAACCGGAGGCGATCGGGCCATGCGGGTTCTGCCAGGCCAGAAGAAAAAAAAAACGCCACCAAATGTAAATTGGTTAATTTGTGATAAACATTTATGGTGGCCCAGGCGGCGGTGCGGAGTCGGATCAGGGCCATGTGAAAAGTGCAGCACTTTCACTATTTCCACACTCGCCCCGCCCTTCCCCGAAATCAAATTGAAGCAGCGGCCGCAGTACCCGGGTCCAATTGGTGTGGGCTTTTCTCACACAGAATTATAGAAGTAGGAGATGAGTGTGTGTGAGATGATTATCGGGCGAAAACAATAATGCGGAAAATTGGTTTTTATTAAGATGGATAACCGAAATTTACATTAAATCTAACGAAGTGAAATCTATTCGTTCCAAGGGTGTGCAATTCAACAACAACTATTTGATATGGGAAATTGGAGATTGGGGTACAAAATTGGGAAATATTTGTGGGAAATAAGAAACTAAATAATATAGTTAATACTGAAGCAAGTAATTGTAATAACAATAAATATAAAAATTTATAATTGAAAATTAATTTAATTACACAGAAACCCTTTATTTTTAAAATGCAAATAAAGCATACTTTAAGCTCCACTTGTATCCTATAATTCCCAACTGGTTCTGACTTCAAACTAGTGCTAAGCCAGCTAAAAGAGGCTGGATACTCATGTGGATTTGTATTGGTTATAAGTATATACATGTAAGGTTCTTAATTTATTGTTAATTACTAATAAGTCACTAAAACTAAATAATAATTAAGTTTTTTCATCGATTTCCAAAAGTATCAATCTTTTTATTGATGTTTGATGATTTTGACAATATTAGGAAAAATCTTTTCATTGCCTCAATTCTCTGATTTTTTCCCGGATTTGGAGCTAAAAACTATTTCAAAGTTCATTTCAATAAAAAAAATATAATAAAAATATATGTAGCTTACAGACCCCCCCGTCGAAAACCTTAACCCCAGCACCGTTCCCGTTCCTCCAGCGATTTCGATTCTCGCGCTAAACTGATAATGGCGATGCCATAACGTTCGGTTCGCTTCATAACATAATGTCATATGTACACAGGCGGAATATATATAATATTGTATATTTTCTACCAGACCACACTATATAGTGTACATAACTGGCACGACACGATTCCAGAGCAGACGTTGCGAGACTTTACCGCCCGGCTCTGGCTTTCTGTCTTTCGGTTTCTGTTTCTGTGACTGTGCAAATTATTGTCACTCACATAAAAAAAATACAAAAAAAAACATACATATATATAAAAAATATTGCAGGCCAGCGCCATCCAGAGGCGAGCGATGACGGAAGTTCAACTAACTCATTTCCGGTTATGTATGTATTTTGATTTCGTCTGTGGCGCGGCCGGATCCTCAATTGTCAGTATGTGTGTGGCATTATGTGTGCTGTGCCGTGCTCTGGCCCGAGAATCTGAAAATATACATACGCTCCGGATCCGATGTGGCGACCAGTAGGCGGTATGGATGGTATATGGGCATTTTTGTACTGCCTCAGGAATCCATAGGTTTCTTAGTAATGTTTAGTGAAGAGCTTGATTTTTTTAGTTATTTTCTAAGCGATAAAAATTACAAGGTAAATTATAAAAATATGGATTAAAAATCGTCAAAACGTGTGCAATAAAATATTTTACGTTCCTCAAGTTATATTTTAAAAGTGTTGTAAAATATTTTTATTAGTAGATGCAATGCTAAAATGTAACATTTTTTTAAAGCATAAATTCGATTTTTTAAATATGAAAAATCTCCGAAAATAGTTGAGTTATATATAATTTGTAAGTACATTTCATAACTTTTTTCAATATTTTTTATAAATAAAAAAAACAAAATCAAGAGACTTACAATAAAATTCAATAATATTTTTACTTGTACGATCTACGATCTAACTACACCAACCTAAAATAACTAGTTATATCAAAGTGCTAGTAAATAAATCGATTAGACAAATCTGGGTTAAAGCTTCAAAGCTCTCGCGGCACTGCATTCATTCATGCATTCCATTGCCCAACATTCATTTTCATTCAAACCGCCATTCATTCATTCAGAACCGAGTACAGAGCAGTTGCTGCGCAAATACATTCATAATTAAGTTGTAAACGAAACATAAAGGCTATAATTACGTCGCAGTCGTAGTGCCTAGGTCTTCTCCCTCCTCCCCCCACCAATCTCTCACACACTCAGATATGTCCGCGGGTATTTAGTGCATGCACTTCCGCTTATCACCAGGATTTGAAAGGAATTTGGGTCACACACACGCATGGTGGCCGGAGAATTCTTAAAAATATATAAAAGTAACAAAAACTGCCTGCCCTAAAAAGTTGACCCATTCAGCTGAAGATCGTAAATCTTATCTCAAAAACGTTTACATCGATTTAATAAAAAAAAATCAATTAAAATAAATTTAGTTTCTATTATTTTGGCTGGCACTGTGTGTACCGTATGTGAAATGGTTTAAAACTAGGATAATTAGGCCTAGTTTTTACACCCAGATTCGAGTCTGTACTTCGGTTTGTGCCTGTGCTGATCTTCTTAGAGCTGTCGGTGAAGCAGTGCCTTTGGCAAAGCAGTTAATAGTTATCGATAGACCTTCGCAAGCAGCTGATGTGGCAACTCTGCCCAGCCCCAACGAGATGGCAACTCGAAGACTTTGTTTACCTATTGAAATTTCTCAATTAGCTGCTCGGAAAGCCATTAGCCGACGTGTTGTTGCATAAAATAAGCAACAAATCGACTGCCAAAGGTCGCCAGCGATAAGGATGCACAAATCGTTACCCCCGCACGCACACCAAGCAAAGCCAGCTTGCAGCTAGCACTCGTACGCCCAAATGACATTGATAACGCCGAATGCTGATAAGGGGGAGCACAAGTCGCGGAGAACAAGTTAAATAAGCCACAAAACCGAAGAGCCAGACGCTCAGTGGCAAAGCGAGCGCGCAGCAAAACAGACGTACGAAAATCGGCAAAACGAGGCAGGAAGCGAACCAGCGGAGAACACAACAAATGAATGAACCGAACGAGGCGGCGGGACGAGTGCAAGAAACGGGTTGAGAAGAAGCGTTAACACCACTCTCGGGCGGTCAGCGATCTTTGGGCCAAAAGCAGAAGCAGTAGCTAGCCAGCAGCAAGTCAGCATCTCATCTCTGCAAGACGCGTCTTTTGTGTCGTTTTGTTTTGGGCATCGGAATCCGAGTTTCAAGGGCGGCAGCAGACTGCGTGTGTTATTCCATTCCGTAAGCTGAATCACCTACAACTGGGATAATCACCTGTAAAACAGGTGAGTTTGCCAGCGCACACACGTTGGCAAAGCCCCGTTAGCCGCCGAGACAACAGGTATTTCGCACACGGCGGCTGCCGCTAGAACAAGGCATACGATTTTTTGGTGACGTCAATGAGAATTTCGCTCGATTGGCCTAATTTTCCCTTTCTCTTCAACACACAGAAATGGCCCCACCCACCGTCTTGGTCACCGGCGGAGCCGGCTACATTGGCTCCCACACCGTACTGGAGATGCTCAACGCGGGCTACAACGTCATCTGTGTGGATAATTTGTGCAATGCGTTCAGCAGCGGTGCCAAGCTGCCAGAGGCGCTCAATCGAGTGCAGGAGATCACCGGCAAGAAGGTCAACTTTTATCGCGTGGACATCACGGACCGGGAACAAGTGCGCTCTGTCTTCCAGGAGGTGAGCTACAAAGAACCATTGGGGCAACGTCAGCAGTTTGGAGAGTGGAGTGCGTGGAGTGCCAGCTAGCCAACTGGATATACCATTCAATCATCATCAGGCCTTATCTGGCTGCGTGCTGCTATCAGCTTTTTCTCGTTTTGTGTTTGCTCAAGTGGGTTGGGAGGGCACTTCCGATGAACGAGAGCGAGCGAGCGAGCGACCCTGAGGCCACATAGACCCCACTTGGCGAGGTCGGAATCAAGTTGGTGTGCTGGCATCCACATCCACATCCAGCACGTACGCTGCACTCAAAGAACTTTTGATAACCATGTTTACAAGCTATTGAGTTTCCACGTATTTAATACCTTGGGGAATTGTTATAATCTTTTTAGGGCAATTTTTCTTTAGAAACCTCAATTTTCCATATGCTAAACATTAATATTTATTTGCTAAAAGCAACAACAAAGCCATTTTATTGCCAAATCATCCATGAAATATGAATATGCTTTTGAAAATGCTGACGATTTGAGAGTTTTATATTGAAAACTTTACTTTTACTAAATTTGCAAGGCATTTTTGGTTGTGGTTTATAAATACTTTAAATATGAACAACATAAAAGTGCTTATTTTGAAATTATATTCTTTGTTAATCAAAACCAGGCTATAGATAACCATGTTTACCCGAACTGATTGCTGTAGAGATTTAGCTTTAGTGGAATTTTTTCTAATCGGTCTATAACTGTTCTATTTATAACTATTTTTTTAGAGCAGTAAATAACCTTTGCAAAATCATATTCTGACAATTATTAACCATGAAATAATTTATGTGATATAATGGCAAGCTGCTGGAGCTACTGAGAATAACTAGGAATATATTAGCCTAGGTTTAAAATTTAATTCAAATTTAATAACATTTCTACAAATGTTGTTATTTTGTTGTTAACTTTAAGTAAATAAAATAATACAACAATTTCTACCTCTTCTTCACAGCACAAAATCGACATGGTGGCCCACTTTGCCGCCTTGAAGGCCGTCGGCGAGTCCTGTCGCATTCCCTTGCAGTACTATCACAACAACATGACCGGCACCAATGTCCTGCTAGAGGCTATGGCAGACAACAATGTCTTCAAGTTTGTGTACAGCTCCAGTGCCACGGTGTACGGCGAGCCTAAATTCCTGCCCGTGACGGAGGAGCATCCCACAGGGAATTGCACATCGCCTTATGGAAAGACCAAATATTTTACAGAGGAGATTCTCAAGGATCTGTGCAAGTCAGATAAGGTGAGTGGAAGGATTACCCCCAAATATAATTTTTTAATAAATAAATTAACTTATTTAGCGCTGGGCTGTGGTCTCCCTGCGCTACTTCAACCCGGTGGGCGCCCACATCAGCGGTCGTATTGGCGAGGATCCCAATGGCGAGCCCAACAACCTGATGCCCTACATTGCCCAGGTGGCTGTGGGTCGTCGCGCCAGCCTGAGTGTCTATGGCAGTGACTTTCCCACCAAAGATGGAACCGGCGTGCGTGACTATATCCACATTGTGGACCTGGCCGAGGGTCATTTGAAGGCACTGGACAAGCTGCGCAACATAGCCGAGACGGGCTTCTTTGCCTATAATCTGGGCACTGGCGTGGGCTATTCTGTGCTGGACATGGTGAAGGCTTTCGAGAAGGCCTCCGGCAAGAAGGTGACCTATGCGTTAGTGGATCGTCGTTCTGGAGATGTGGCCACCTGCTTTGCGGACGCCAAGCTGGCCGAGGAGAAGCTGGGCTGGAAGGCTGTCCGAGGCATTGACAAGATGTGCGAGGATACGTGGCGCTGGCAGAGCCAGAATCCTAATGGATATGCCAACAAGTAGCTTGCCTTCGTTCCTGCTCCCTGCTAGTTCCTCCCAGCCTTGTCTGTTGTGTGTATATTTCTTCTTTCCGAATTCCATTTAGTAATCAATATAATATTTTCAATGTGTGTTAGTGTGTGTATGTAAATCCAAAGTACTTTGTAATTAAAAAAAGGCTTTCCGCTGTCGTCATGTAAGTTTTTGTTGCTCATTTACTGTGGTTGCCGGCTGCTAGCATCATTACTAAACGCAAAAGCGTAATTAAGGTCAAAGTCAAGGTGGGCTGAGGCGTCATAACTAGAGGGATTTCAATTCAAACAACTATTAAGCTAGGGAATTTCTAATCTAGAGTAGATTTACACAATAAACAATTAAATTTCCTGCTTCATAGATTAATATTAAGGGGGAAACACTGCATTTTTTGAAATATACTTAAAATTGCATTAGTTTATTCAATTTATTTAATGAAACACATATTCAGTACTTTTACTTAACGAGTATTTTATGAGCTCAATTAATTCGTTTACAAAAGCTTATGCTCAAAATCAGTATCAAAGCGAATACAGATATCAAATGATTCATAAAACTAGACATATTTAATTAAGACACCGAAAAACGCAATCTAACATTTAAAAAAACTCAATTGTAAAACTTAGCTGATGCCCCTTTTAGCGCATCTTTTCATTGTATCTGCACAGTAAGCGGCATTTATCACAAGTATGTACTATGAATGTATTGTATTTGTTTGTCTTAACAACTTTGCGTTCGTTTTTGGAATGGTCTCTGCACATGTTTTGTATATATAAAAGTACAAAATTGTTTATATTCGGTATTTGGCAATCGGTTCTCTCTGTTTTGTTCTCGTTCAACAACTGATGAGGCAAAGAAATTGAATTCAACAAGAAGCATTGCTAGGTGGCTACATGTATAGTATGTCTCTGTGCGCGATATGCATAAGTTATGAATATATATATGCTATATATGGTATATCTAAGTATGTGGATAGGTTGCAAGTGGGGCGAGGAAGAGATCCTTGGCCAAGAGTGGCGTTGAAGTGGTTTAGTTTAGATGCCGCTGCAAATACTGCTAGAGTAGCACTGGAGACCCGCTCCAAGGGAATCCACCTATGTCGAGGTAACACCCTTGCGGGCCACTAGCATATTGAGTATCGGGTTTTTCCGTATGTAGCTCACGGCCTTTTTATGGGTGACCATGGTGAAGTCGTAGCCATTGCACTGGAGGATCTTGTCGTGGATCCGGAGGCCGGCACGGGCGGCGGGACTGCCCTCGTGCACCTCGGTCACATAGATGCCCTGGTTTGACATGGGAAATTTAGATATATTTTAATATTATTGGAATTAATGTTAAAAGTTTGAGAGAAAAAATCAAACTGGAGGGGAACTTATAAAGTTAAAAAGGGATTTAAATTGAAAACATAGATAAATTATAATATTTTTAAGTATTATAAATTATTATTATTAAAAAGAAAGTATACATTTTGAGGAAAATCATTATTAAATTAATTGTTTCCATATTTTTCGATTGTTTCTGCGCTCAATGATACCTTTTATAAAGAATGTATAATATTAAAATAATTTTTAAAGGGGATTATGACAGTTTTTCACTCAAATAAAATCAATTTTTGTGTGTTCTGCCCTTCTAAAAATCATAAAAAATATTAGTTTACGAAAAATTCCAACAAAAAATTAAAAATTCCCTTTTTGAATGATTTTTTCTCTTAGTGCATCATATCTAGGATCTCTTCTCACATAATCCGTGTAACCCTGTGGACTCTTTTTATAGTCCTGATCGATTCCACCGCCGATTTTGAAGCCACACTTCAGGATCTCCCGGCCTTCCTGATCGTAGTCCTTCTCCTTGTGCAGCGTGATGGGAATCTACAGTTCAGGTAACAACAAAAAACAGGTAAATCTATGCTCAAATATGAAAGTTTTTTTTTTTGCTCCAGCGACCCAATTCCACCAATACACACACATAAGCGCCGCGCTGGAGTCTGTACGGTGGAACGCCTTCATTCATAACTTACGCTCAAGCACTCCATCGCCGTGCCGGCCTGGTGCTGAAATGCCATCTTCGCCATGTCTGCAGGTGTTTTTATTTACTTTAAATTGTTAAATTAAGTGCGTTTAGTGGTTTATTGTTTCTAGTAAAAAATCTCGGTGTTCGCCCACAACAAATTCTGCTTCTTCTTCGCTGCAGGTTGTTAACTTTGCTGAATAGGAAAGGTGGGAAACTGTGATCAAGCGTAATAGTGTTGTAAACTACGAAAAATTTTTAAAAAACAAACATCTGTAGCAAAGACAGGGGCTTACACAAAAGGGGATCGTTGGATTTAAAATTAAAATAATTAAAAAACCAAAACAATTTATTTTGTTGGCAATGTTTTAGTTTTTATTCAAATTATATTACATTTCTAGTGTCTATGAAACCTAAGACCTTCGCATGGCCAGCATTGTGTTAATCTCCCAGATGATTATTCGGGTCCTGTCAATAATCTCGCGCAGCTGCCGGTTCTTGAGCTTAACCGTCTCTATGAGCTCGTGGTTTTCCTGCAGGACCTTCCGGTACTCATCACACTGTGAGGGCTCGATCCTTGGTTCCGGCTCGTCCCGGTAGGGAATCAGGCTCTCCGCACTCATATAATCCATGCCAGCGTCGTTGCACTTCTCGTAAATGATGCGGACTCGCTTGAAGAGCAGCCGGATAGTGCGGAAGTACTCCTGAACTTTCTTTTCCGTGTTATTATCCCGATGCGACGTGGGCTGGATGTTCTTCAGGGCGGAGAAGACCTCCTGGAAGCGCGAGGCAATGTCCTGGACCGTCTCCTGACCAAGACGCGACAGCTGAACTATGTTAATCTCCTTGTGTGGATTCTGCTGGGAGATGGCCAGCATATTGTTGTTTCCTCCAGACCCACCGGCGGCGATGCCGGGTCCTGGGTTGAGTTGCTGCTGCTGCTGTTGTTGTTGTTGCTGCTGTTGGGGAATATTTTGCTGGGGAAGACCCTGCGGCTGCTGTTGTTGCTGAGAGGCAATGCCGCCTCCCATGCCCACGCCGCCGCCCATTCCAACGACTCCAACGCCGACTCCCTGCTGCGGTCCCATCATCTGCTGCTGCATCATCTGTTGCTGCTGCTGCTGCATCTGATGCTGGGGTGACATGCCGGGCATTAGACCGCCGGGGCCTCCGCCTTGGGAATTCATCTGCATGCCGCCTGGAACGCCGCCCATCATGCCCATTTGTTGCTGCTGCTGGTGCTGCGGCGACATGTGCATTTGCTGCATGTTCCCATGCTGCATGCCAAAGCCGCCCATGGGCATCATGTTGGGGCCACCGCCGGCTCCTCCTGGGCCCACTGGTCCCTGGTTGCCTTGGTTTTGTCCGTATTTCCACATCTTTCGCTTTGAAAACAAACAAAAATTGCAATATAACTGCAGGTGTTTTGCAACACTGAATCAGGTAGAGGTAGAGTTGCCAGGAAGCAATCAAGAGAAACAGCTGAGAGCCGATTGTTGTAGTCGATAACACTATAAAGCTTTTCAACACTGGCAAAAGACCGCAACATTTTTGCACGGAGGTTTCTTCATTTCTTTATGATTTCAAAAAGAATTAATGGCACGTGACGAAGACAATGGTTTTGGAGAATGGGTAAACCTTTTAATAAAGTATGTAATACGCATCTGAAATAACCGAAAACCTTTCCTTTAGGGCGGCTACTTCGAAGCCAAAAAGTCCAAATTGGAGGAGCAATTTGCTGCCGCCAGCGATCCATTTCGCAAGTCTGACTTATTTCAGGGAATCTCGATTTTTGTGAATGGCCGAACCGATCCTTCGGCGGATGAGCTGAAGCGCATCATGATGGTGCACGGTGGAACCTATCATCACTACGAACGGTCGCACACCACATACACAATAGCCTCCACTTTGCCGGACGTGAAGGTGCGGAACATGAATCTGAGCAAGTTCATTAGCGCCAAGTGGGTGGTGGACTGTCTGGCGCAGAATAAGATTGTCGACTACAAGCCCTATTTGCTGTTCACCAACCAGAAAACCTCACAGCCGAGAATCAACTTTGCAAATGTTAAAAATCGCAGTTTAAAGGAGAGCAAAATGGAGGTAGATGCACCGGCAGAGCCACCGGCAGAGTTACCAGCAGACAAGATGGAAATTGATCTGGCTGGGATTCTAGGAGAGCTGCAGCAGGCTGTGGTTACCTCTCCGGAGAAAAAAGCCGAGACCAGCAGTTTGTCCGAGACCAATCAGTCCATCAACAATCTGTCCAGCACATCATCGAACTCGAATCATGCACGCACCGCCGCTGATCCTCGTTTCCTTTCTGAATTCTACAAGAACTCCCGGCTGCACCACATCGCCACTTTGGGAGCTGGCTTCAAGCAGTATGTCTGCGAGCTGCGACAGGCCAATGCCGGCAAAGACTTTCCCATGCGGGAGGCACTGAAAAATCTAAAGGAAGCCACCGAAATCTCTGGATTTCGGTATGTAATGCACATTGATATGGACTGCTTTTTCGTTTCCGTGGGTCTGCGGTCTCATCCGGAGCTCCGCGGCCTGCCTGTGGCGGTGACCCACTCCAAGGGCGGCAGTGCAGCAGCCGATGTGCCTGTGCATCCGCAGGCGGACAGACAGGTGGAGCAGGAGCTGTTTGCCCAGCGCTTCGAGCATCGCCTGCACGACGACAACAAGGTGGACAAGGTGCGTTCTGGCTTTGATAAGAAAATGTCACTCTCGGAGATTGCCTCCTGCAGCTACGAGGCTCGGGAGAAGGGCATTCGCAATGGCATGTTTGTGGGACAAGCTTTAAAGCTCTGCCCGGAGCTGAAGACGATTCCCTACGACTTTGATGGCTACAGGGAGGTGGCCTTCATGCTGTACAATACGGTGGCCCAGTACACCTTGAATATTGAGGCTGTGAGCTGTGACGAGATGTTTGTGGAGCTGACCGATATGGTGGATGAACTGAAAGTGGATGTGATGGCTTTTGTGGAGCACCTCAGGCAGGAGGTTCGCACCAAGACTGGATGTCCCTGCTCGGCGGGAGTGGGACCCAATAAGTAGGTGGAAACTAGCATTTAAGCTGTGATTATTCTTAATCTTATTCTTAGGTTACTGGCCCGCCTGGCCACCAAAGAGGCCAAGCCGAATGGCCAGCACTTGCTGACATCTAATCAGAATATCCTGGCCTACATGGCCCCCATGGCCTTGGAAACTCTGCCTGGAGTGGGCAGCAGTATGAGCCACAAACTCAAGCAGGCTGGCCTGAACAACTGCGGCGATGTGCAGCAAACGTCGCTGGCGAGGCTGGATATGCTCTTGGGCAAAAAGTTGGCACTGAATTTACACAACAACTGTCGGGGCATCGATCCACGTCCCTTGGTTTATGAGCAGGTTCGGGAAATCAAGGATTACTTTACCTTTGGAGCGATTGATATTAATAATTTTCTTTTGTTTTTCAGGCTCGCAAAACCGTTTCTGCGGAAATGAACTTTGGCATTCGCTTTACTAAGGCTATCGAGTGCGAGCAATTCCTGCGCCAGCTCAGCGATGAGGTCACCAAACGTCTGACTGAGGTCAAGCGTAAGACCAAGTCCATCAATCTAAAGATTATGGTCCGCGCTGCCGAAGCGCCCGTGGAAACCTCCAAGTACATGGGCCACGGCGTTTGCGATATTGTCAACAAGTCTTCGAACCTCAAGCATGCCACCGATGATGTCAATGTGATTACCTCTCTCGTCCTCAACCTGATGAAGGAAGCTGATCTGCCTTTCCACGAGCTGCGCGGACTTGGCATACATCTCACTAAGCTCGAGGATGCCGGTGAAGTGAGAAAGGATAATGTTCTCAAGCAAATGTTTATTAAAATCACCGAGAAGAGGACACGTTACCCGCTTAAGCCTCCAAAGGAACAGCCAGTGGAGAAAGTAGCCGAGGTTAAAGCCAAGATCAAGCCCAGGAATGTGTTGAGCATGTTAAATGCAGCAGCAGAGGTCCAAAAACCAATGATCAGGGAACAACCAAAGAGTTCTGAGTGTGAAGGTGTGCAGCCAGAACTGAAGTTTACTGATGTGGGACCACGTGAAATCGATCCGGATTTTCTGGCGCATATGCCGGAGGAAATACGATGTGAGCTGCTCAAAAATCAGAATGAATTCTTACTCATGGAGAAGAAAAATGATGACCCTGCTAGGAAATCATTAAGCCCAGCTTTCTCAACCACTCCATCGGATGAGGAGATACCGCCGCCTCCACCTTTTATTGTAAGAAGCTCATTAGGACAAACTAGTCCCCTTAATGCCAGCGATCTTCGCCCCTCCACTTCCCGTGCTGGCCTGGCTCGCTTGCAGCAGCGAGCAGCTGCCCGAAAGGAGTACGAAAACGACAGTCGCTCCGACGAAAACGACTGTCGCTCCGACCAGATTGTGGCGGACTACGTCAAGGAGCTGCCCAAGTATACGCATCCTGCATTACTGGAGTACATCAACAGGTCCCCGGATGAGGTGCCCACAAGCGGCAAACCTCCCGCTATTCCCTCTCCCAAGGTAGAGGTGCCCTCCAACATGCTGGAGGGAGATTACAAGAGCATGCTTAACGTATGGATCAGCAACGAGGAGGTGCCGCTGCCAGCGGACGTAGAAATGATTTACAAGCAGATCTGCAGTCTGGTGAGAGCTGAGAAATTTAACCTGATGTACGATGTGATGAGACACTTGTGCCGGTATTTATTATTATTATTTGTTGTACTATATTGTGTCAACCTAATTTGCTATTCCCTTTGATGCAGCCTCATCAATGCCAAACGCGGAGGCTCCTGTCGTTGGCACATGGCCTACAATCACATCGAGTTTAATATCCAGGACCTTATGATGGAGATGCAGGGTTACCAAATGTGCTTGATCGAGAATATTCGCTGCGCCAAGTGCAGTGTGTACTAATTCAGACATTAAATGTTATTTGAAAGGAAATGTGATACATTGTTAAATGGCAGGAGATTAGAAACAGTTCCTTAAAGTTAATTTAAATAATAAAATATATGATTTTCTAACCGAAAATATTGAATGAAATAAAATTAATTGATATTTTATGATTAAGGTTTAAAGAAGTTTGAAAATTCCAAAAGAGTGCCTTATAGAATGAATAAAATTATTATTATTACCCGTATTTCTAAGACAGAAATTTAACCAAATAAAGCTTTAAATGCATTAAAAATATATTGGTATACTTTAATCAAATTTTAATTTTAATTTAAACAAAGAAATTTAATTTAACCGGTACATTTTAATTTTAATATTATATTTAATTTGAGTTTTCGTAATTAAGAACTGAAAAATACTTTAATAAAACCGAAATATTTTAATTTTAATTTATAGAGACTATAAGTTACATTAATTTAAGCGTCAAATTGGGTTTAAAAATATGAAAATACGGTAATTTATATTAATTTAACCATTAAATATTAGTTTAAAAAGACAACAAGTCCCACCATATAAAACCCAAAAAATTGAAAGTAAATTCGTAATGCCTAAATAGTCCGCTAGATGGCTTTGCACAAAGTAATCCTCCCTCTGCTTTATTTAATATAGTTTTTCTAAATAAAAACAAAAAAATACACTAATATAACCGCATTTAATTTTAAAAAATATATATGTATATATATGTATATATATTTCAAGTAAAGTTTTTTTTTTAACAATAATTTCTAGTAAAAATATGAATTAAATTATAAATAATTACTGTCTATTTTCAGACAATACCATCGCCTTTCAGGATGGAAAAAAAGGGGCCACCAGAGTCATTTACAACTCCAGATGTGCGCACAGGTAGCAATTAATGTTGTAAAAGCTGTAAATAATGTGGGGCTATTGCTGCTGTTGCTGCTGCGACGATGGCGTTGATAACTTCATACGTTAAAGGGCAGAGCCCCTACATCTTGGCGGTGGCTCTTTCCCAGCTCCCAGATACACAAAGAGATCGGGCGGTGCGGCGGCGTCGGAGGAGATATGGGCAAAGCCGGGCCACTCAAGACAAATAGGCCAGGCGGGCACAACACCTGGCGGAACTGGCAAGTCATAATTTGCACTTTAATGAAAGCGGCATCGAATCGAATCCGACGCTCGAACAGGTTAGTGTTGCACAGTTCTCTAAACTCTGAAGTCACTGCAGTTAATCGCTGCGACGTCGCCGGAGCGGCTGTAATATGTAATTGATTCGCATGCCTACCCAGTCGCTCGCTCCCAGTCCCAGCATCATTCCCAATCCCAGCTCCAATCCGTGCCCATCCCATCCTCAGGCCCCATGCCAAACCATAACAATTACAGTGCCATTTGCCAGGAAGCCAGAGATGGCAAATATCTGGTTGAGGTTTATCTAGGAATATATTAAGGGTTTATTCTTAATATTTATATTTTTTATAATAATTTTTTTGACATATCAAATATTAAAAATATCATAACTAAGCCAAAAGAGCATCAAATTCAATTCGGAAAGCTTTTTTATGCAAGTTTTTTCTAGGTTAACAAATCTGAGTAATTAATTTAATTTTTCAAGAAATCGCATTTTTTGCCAATTTCTGAAAAATTAAAAAAAAAATGTTTTTTTTCAGGACATGGCTAGAAAGATGCGCCTATTAATGCTGATCAAGAATATATATGATTTATAGGGTCGGAAATGACCGCTTCTATAAATAAAATTTTAATACCCTTCCAGAAAACCGGAAATAATCCAATTTTTGGTACAACTCAAAGTTTAAAAATGTTATAACAGCCAAAAAAGCATCAAATTCAATTCATTTATAGATTAATAAATCTGCATACTACATTTTAAACTTAAATACATAAAAAATATTGACAATTTTTGACGATTTTAATGATGATCAAGAATATATATGATTTATAGGATCGGAAATGACTCCTTCACTGCTTCAATAGATTCTAAGTAAAATTATTAAACCCTGCAAGGCTATGCCTTTTTATTATGAGCTTCAATATAATCTATTAATATTTATTTTTACAATTTTATATATTATATTATTTGTGTTATTTTTAAACCTCGACTTCTTCCCATCACTGAAGGCCACCCCACTTGTCTTGGCAGCTGAGTCTGAAGCTGGAGCAGATGTTTGTCCGGTAATTAAAAATAGTCAAGCTGCATTTCTGGCTCTTCCAGCATCCGGTGGCGGTGGCCATGTGGCTGGTGTCTCTCTGGCCTCTCTGTGGGCTGGGCTGGGCTGGGCTAGGAGCTCTACCCTGGCACCGAGTGGGGATTTACATGAGCTACGCTTTGTCTGATTTAATTATGTGCGCAAAAGGCGTCGTTGTTTCATAAATTTTATGCATCCTGTCGTCGGGGAACTCGGTAGCTGCAACATGCTTGTTGTTCTCCCTGCTCCCAGCTCAGCACTGCTCTGGCCTGGTCTGCTCCATCATGGCGATGAAGTCAAGTAATCTGGAAAAGACCGCCGCTCCCCGGCCAGATGCAAATGTTGTCGGGTTTTGATAGACTTGTTGGCTGCCAACGTGATTTGTCAACGACTCCAAGGAGGCTGGGAAGTCGGCCATTAAAAGTTAACCGCAGTAAATGAGTTCTTGTGGGTAATTTTTTTTATTTTTTTTATCGTTTTTTTAAAGGTGAAAAATTATAATTTTTAAGTAAGTAAATATGGAAAATCTCAGAGAAAACCTAGATAGTTTTCAGGAAAGATTTTATGGGTTTGTCAGCTACGTCAAGTCAGTATCTTCCATCGGGGATTTGACGGGCAAGTGTGAGTACCTTTCAGGCACTACTTGTGGCCACTTGTGGGCCCCTCGGCTAGAGGAGACCCAGCGTGTTGCCAAGATTATTCCCACGCTCGAGGAACTCAAATAAAACTCGACGACGACTGAACAACCAGTAGCTGGCGGAGCAGCTGGAAACTGTCAACATTATCGGACGTGACTGGCTGCGACAAGATCACTGCCATAGAGAGCTATATACTTCGTCTGAAACCTAGCCCTGTGCCGAAAACGGAAAACGGAATCATTGGCCGCCACATGTAAATATGCACACACACACACTGCATGGAGTGGTAGAGTCTTTGGAGGATTTGCGGCTCAGATGCTGATAATACCTGTGGTTTTTCCTTAAGTTTTTTTTCTTTCCAGCTGCTACCAAATAAGCCCAGGCAGACGATTCGGATTTAGCCGCCAAAGCGGCCATCGGAGGCTGTGCCTATGCAAAACTTCTAGCCAATTAACTTGGCCGGCGGCAGAGGAGAGCCACAGAGAGCGAGAGAGACCGTTCCTGGTGCTGTGCCTTATGATTAGAATCGTCGACAGCAGCAGCCGCCAAACGGGGCAACAGCAACCGCAGCAGCAACTGCAACATCAGCACCAGCAGCCGCAGCCGCAGCAACATCAACCGCAAGCAACCAAAGCTAATGAACCATGTTGCCGCTGATGAACCCAAACTGATTAATGATCCCGGGCTGGAAGGGGTGGAGGCAGGCACAGCCACTCCGAAATCCGATGAGGTTACACTCCTGAAACCAGCCTCTGCCCAAGCCCGATCCCTGAGGCCCAGCTAACAACTTAACTAGTTCAATGGTGGGCTAAGGGTTACCCAAGCAGAGAGAGAAATTACAAAGAGTATTTTCCTTACACTTTATACGAAGAAAATTACCTTATACCTCTTCTTATTATAAACTAAAAACCAGATTTAGCTAGTTTAACCATCCCTTTCTCCCTGTGCATCCTGCTTAAGTCCAGTCAATTTTCGGGGGCCAGCTGAGTAAGGAGCTGACAAAAGCCGGCAATGTCCAATGCCCAATGGCCATGGCCGAAACAAAGGCCGCGCAGGCGCACCTGAGAATGTTGATAGCCCCCATGGAGTCGTCGTAGGAGTGGGAGTCGTAGCTTGAAGTTTGCAGCAGCCCAAGGAGAGGGAGAGAGGGAGAACCAGCTCAAGTCCAAGTGCAAGTCGTTTTTTATGCCACTCAACCACCGGCGACAACAGCAGCAACAACAAGGGATTCAAGTCGGATTGGAGCCGCGGACCTGGTGGAGCGTTGGCTCGAACTCAAGCCCTTTATCACATGCGCACATCATTTACTTGAAGCAGACGAGGACGAGGACGCAGCGCACTTCAGCAATTGCCTTTAAAGTGTTTGCGTCGTGACAAAATCAATGTTGGCCGTCTGCTGTTGCTCCTGCCATGTTGCTGTTGCTGCTGCTGCTGCTGGGATGCTGGGTTGCTGCAGACGCAGCTGAAGCCCTGACAGCCTCCTCAGTGGACAGTGATTCATGGTTTATTAAGCGCATTATGCCGCAGGATACTTTGAAGTTGCCACGGAGCAGGAGGAGCAGCAAGAGGTACAGCGACAACGAGTTGCACGTGTTTGGAGGCCCTTAAAAATGCGGCAATTGTTGGCTGGACCCTGGACGATGGCATTGGCAATGAACACTTGGTCTTGGAGCTGATGCTGTGTTGGATTCTAGGTAGGCAGTGCTGTTAAGTTGTCCTTTTTAAAAAGAGATTTGTTGTGTGTTATTTAGCGGGTTTCTTAAATTTTAAATCTTGTAACTAATGCCTTAAAAAATACTTCAAATTTTAAAGAGAGGTTATTTTATTTTTTCTTTATAAATTATAATATATTTATAACTTTTCCCATATTTATTTATATTTTTGATCCAATGTGTTCTTTAAATAAATCTTTTGACACCTCTAATTCTATGTGGCTGCCGTTTCTGAGGCCTTTGCTGGGCCAGCAATTGATTACTTAACATGTTTTATGCGTTCGGCAAGTTATGTGGCGACTGCCGCGTTAATTCGCCTCTTTGGCCTTGGCCGGAGACGAAGCCTCTTCCCAACCAAGCCAACTCCTAACCAAGTAACGCCTGCGTCCAAACAAATTGCCGCTCGGCAGGCGCTGGCCGTAAATCAGCTCAGCAGTCAAAACACATCAGCGGCATCAATGGCCAGCCACTCTACTCTTGGCCAGAGTGTGCTTTTGAGCTTCCCAGGCTCTCCACTTGGTTTCAAGTCCTCAATCCCTCCGCTGCCCCTGAGACACCCACGT